TTTATATTAAGTAAACGATTTATGACCATAATCTTTTTCTGAAAGAATTGCATTTTAACACCAAAGAATTAGGAAGGTCACAATTTCAGAGTAAGAAATAGTCCCTGAATCAAATCTACTTAACTTTAATAAAAGCTCTGTGAACTGTCCTATTTTTCTCCTGCTGAGGACCCTTCATGGACTGATGTTCATTCCTCAGTCATAAGGCCTATTATTTTGGGCTACTCATCTCAGGTAGCAGTTTAGCCCATGATACTGTACACATATTATCATTTTATGTGTTGCCTTAACCTGAAAAGGATGGAGTACCACTGGTCTATGGCAGTAGCTCTCAATGTATGCTCCCTGGACTAGCAGCAACAGCATCACCTATTAGATATGCAAATATCTATTAGATTGGCTTTGAGAACCTATTAGAAATGCAAATTCTCAAGCCCATAACAGGCTTATTAAACTCAAGAGATAAGGCCCAGCAATCTGTGTTTTATTAATAAATATACAGAACACTACTCTTTTTTTTTCTTTTATTATTTATTTTTTCTTTATGTTTCTTTGTCCTTTTGCCCTGATCTGCTTCACATAGAACACTTACAAGTCTTCTAGGTGATCCTGATGAGAACACCAGTGTAGAGAACAGAGGTCTGGACCTGAGAGTTGAAAAGCCTATGTTCAGTTTCTATCTCTCACTAACTACAACCTCGAATGAGTCACAATATCATGTTCTAATTGCCCTATCTATATGATAGATAAAATCAGTTTCCTACAGCACAAGGCAGTTATGAAAATAAGTACGTGAGAGCTCAAGTTCCTCAGAGGTAAGTCAACATAACACTATGCATCCAAGGTGTTGATAATAATAATCTTCATCCTGTTTTTACCAAGCTACTCCAACCTGTCTACTCACAATATATTCTAAGCCTGTTTTTCAAGGTTCTAGTCACTCCACCCAACTTGGTAATATTATGTAATGAGCATACTTAACGAGATCTTGAATTTTTATAGCAAATGCAAAG